CTATAAAGAAGGGTCAGGAGTGAAATCGATACCCGATGGCGTGGAAAAAATGTTGAAAGAATTTGAAGAGGTGATGCTAGAGATGTTGCCTAAGGTTCTACCTCGATGAGCAGTGGATCATGAAATTGAGCTCCTTTCAGGAGCGAAACCCCCTGCTAGAGCTCCTTACCGTATGGCCCCACCAGAGTTGACCGAACTAAGGAAACAGTTAGATGAGCTTCTATAAGTCGGGTTCATTAGACCATCGAAGGCTTCTTTCAGAGTGCCAGTGTTATTTTAAAAGAAGCATGATGAAAGTTTATGATTATGTGTTGACTACAGGGCCCTGAACAAAGTCACCGTGAGAAACAAATATCTCATCCCTCTTATAACAGATTTGTTTGATCAATTGAGCCGGGCCAAGTATTTTTCCAAATTGGACTTGAGATCTGGCTACCATCAGGTCAGAATCATCAAAGGAGATGAGCCAAAGATCACTTGTGTAACACGGTATGGTGTATTTGAATTTTTTGTTATGCCCTTTGGACTGACCAATGCTCCTGCCACATTTTGTACATTGATGAATCAGGTGTTCCATGACTACCTAGATAAATTTGTAGTCATCTATTTAGATGACATAGTGGTATATAGCTCCACTCTGGAAGAACATCAAGAACAGTTACGTCAGGTGCTTCGAAGGTTACAAGACCACCAGTTATACGTGAAAAGGGAAAAATGTGCATTAGCTCAGACCCAAATTCATTTTCTCGGTCACATTGTCGAACGTGACCACATCCGAATGGACATGAAAAAGGTTAGGGCCATCAAAGAGTGGACAACACCAAAGAATGTTAGTGAACTTCGTTCATTTTTTAGACTAGCTAACTATTATAGAAGGCTTATGGAAGGGTACTCTCATAAGACCACGGCCCTCACGGAGCTATTGAAGAAGGAGCATAAATGGTATTAGACAAGTGAGTGCCAAGAGGCTTTTGAGGGATTGAAGAATGCTATTATGAAGGATCCCATCTTAACTCTCTTCGATATTGAAAAGCCTTTCGAAGTTCAGACGGATGCATCTGATTTCACTATTGGAAGAGTGCTTTTACAACAACATCACCCGATAGCATTTGAAAGTAGAAAGCTAAACGAAGGTGAGAAGAAATATACGACCCAAGAAAAAAAGCTCCTGGCAGTAGTTCACTACTTGAGGGCTTGGTGATATTATTTGTTGGGTTCACACTTTGTCGTAAAGACAGACAATGTGATCGTTAGCCATTTCTTCATCCAACCAAGGCTTACAGTGAAACAAGCTAGATGGTAAGAAATTTTAACGGAGTTTGACTTTTGTTTTGAGCACACCATTGGAAAAACCAATCAAGTGGTCGATACATTGAGCAGGCGAACAGAGTTAGCGGCCTTTAGAAGAATTACTCCAATAACGGCTAGCAGAGCCACGACAGACATTCACAAGTTGATTGAAGATCATTTAGGGAAAGACCTGTAGGCCAGTGCCATTCTGAAGCTAGTGGAAGAAGGGAAGTCCAAGTGCTTCTGGCAAGAAAATGAGGTCTCGTGGACCAATGGCCTTGATTGTTTGTGCCAAGAGCAGGAAGTCTGAGACAAATGCTGATGAGAGAATGTCATGACACACCGTGGATCTGACATCCGAGCTAGCAACGCACTTTGGCGTTATTGAAATAGGGATACTATTGGCCTCACATGTGACAAGATGTGATGGACTATACAAAGACTTACCTTATTTACTAACAAGACAAAGTTGAAAAGAAAAAACCTGCAGGCATGCTTGAACCACTATCGGTACCCACCAGATCGTGAGAAGGCATCTCTCTTGATTTCATTTTGAACCTACCCAAGGTTGGTGATCTTGAAGCTATTTTGGTGGTGATTGACCGATTCTCTAAGTACGCCATATTCATTCCCGCTCACAAGTATTGTATAATGGAAGACACAGCTTGACTATTGTTTAAACATGTGGTTAAATATTGGGACCTCCCTCAAAACATTATCAGCGATAGAGATCTGAGATTCACGGGATCCTTTTGGAAAGAACTTTTCAAGATATTAGGGTCCCAACTCAACATCTCCTTAAGCTACCACCCTCAAATTGACGATCAAACGGAACGATTCAATGGACTACTAGAGAAATACTTAAGGCACTTTGTTCAAACCAATTAGAAGAACTGGCCTTCGTTATTAGACGTTGCTCAACTCTGCTTTAATTATAACAAAAGCTCTTCCATCAACAAGAACCCATTTGAGGTGGTCACCAGACAATTACCAAGGCTACCCCACACTTCTTTGGAATAATATAAAGGGAAAAATCCAAGAGCCTTCAACCTCGACAAGGAGTGGAAACAAAATATGGAGATTGCACAAGCCTACCTGGAGAAAGCATCAAAGCGAATGAAGAAATGAGCAGACAAAGGTCACAGGGCTTAATAATTCCAAGTTGGTGATCTGGTTCTTGTTCGACTAGTCCCTGAACAAACCAGATTCTTGAGAAAGAGAGATCGTAGACTGATGGCAAATATGAGGGTCCAGTGAAGATCCTTTCCAAGGTGGGGAATGCTTCTTACAAAATCGACCCACCAAAGTGGATGAAAGTGCACCCAGTATTTCATATGAGTAACCTAAAACTTTTCCATGCAGATCCTACAGATGCTAGTTGAAGGGAGCCAACCAGAGCTGCCATCACCATGAAGCCACCCTCAGAGCATCGAGTCGAAGAGATCCTAGCTGATAGAAAAACCAAGATATCTCAAAGATTAGTTCAGGAATACTTAGTAAAGTGGGAGGGATTAGGACTAGAAGAAACCAGCTGGGAAAGAGAACACGACCTCCAGAGATTCAAAAAGAAGATTGAAGAATTTCAAGCCAGCAAGTCGACGAGAACGTCGATAGAATAGGTGGGGAGGATGTCATGAGCCAACCTTGTATAGGGCCATGACCGGGGCTTAGATTGTCATGAGCCACCTTGTATAGGGCCATGATCGGGTAGATCTCTTGTGCTAAGAAAAGTGTCCCTATTTCAAACATTGTAATGATTAGTGGTAGCATAGCTCTAAAATCTCTAAGGCTCTTTAAGAGGGGGTGAGCCGGCAGCATACTGTTGGGCTGTCTCATCGGTTGCTATGCGGACCTAGGCCATCCACCAAGGGCTGCCTCTGGCCCTGGTGATGGTGGGAAGTTTCGATGTATGATTCTCAATTATAATAAAATTCACCCCGATTGAATGTCCCGATTTTTGCCTTGATGTGAATGTGCCTTCTTGTGTGTGTTTGAGATTGATCTCGATATAATGTATCTTATTGTGAATGCTTGGAATTAACCATGACTTATGATTATTTGTTCAGATATTGAACTGTTGAAGGCTGACTTGGGTGGGAGCGTCTATTCAAGTGCCGCACGGTCTATTGTTTGTTGAGAGAAAGCTTAGTCCGTGACACTATGGGTGATCCTTAGAGGGAAGATTATTAGCGTAATTTTGGGGCCGAAGCCAATCATAATCACGTGATAACCGGTAATTCCAATTATAAGCAGCAAAAAAGGTGGGATACCAAAGATGGGGTCTTTATACGGGAATAGGAAATATAGGAGATAATGAGTGTGGTTCCGTACCAAAGGAATTGGAGTTGAATAACAAACGTGACTTGTATGATGGCCCCATGCAAAAGGAATCACAAATGAGGAGCCCACAGGGTATTTAAACGGGATAGGGGAAAACGAATGGGACGTGGCAACAATTAGTTATAATATGAATGATTGTGGGACTCGCATAATGAAGGAAGCCAAAAGCACAGGCCATGATAATGAGACTTTATTCCCATGTAGTGACCAATTATTCGCAGAAATAAAAGGTTAAGTAACACGAGGATAGGGGTGGCAATCATCAAAGCCTAGAAAACGATGGTTGCATTAACCTACGGAGTGAATGTACTAAAACCCAGAGTAGCGCAGAAAGCCAAATAGAAGAAGTTGGCTCGTGCACCTGCTGCACATAGAAGTGGAATGAAGATAGAATTAAGTAAGAGGAAATAGGGAGTTGAAGAGGCAGTAGATATGGAAATCGACAGCATACATAAAAAAAGCTAGGAACGAAGATTGGGCATTGTTCGAAAATAGTGCTATTCAAATGGAGACTGGGTCCCAATCTCGTCGAGCTCAATGAGGTGTGTATCTTGGAACTATATTGGGCTTGGGAACCCTTGGACAATTTAAGCTCTTCAGAAAATGCTGAAGAGAGAAGATCTCAAGGTGGTTTTTCTGAGTGAGACCATCTTACCAACACAGGCACTAGATAGAGTCAAACGGAAGTGCAAAATGGATGGGGTAATAGGAGTTGATGCAATAGGACGTAGTGGAGGACTTGCTTTGTTTTAGAAAGAAAAGGTAACACTAAGCTTACTAAACTTCTATAAATATGATATTGATGTAGAAATCACAGATAAGAATGGTAGTGAATGGTGAATTACTGGCTTCTACTGGGACCTAAATGTGAATTTGAGGCACAATGCATGGACAATGTTGAGGGAGCTGGCTACGGTAAATAACAGACCATGGATTTGCTCAGGAGATTTTAATGAGGTACTATGGAGCGACGAAAAGCATGGGGGCAATCCAAGACCGGAATGGTAGATGAATAGCATTCGGTTGGCAATGAAGGATGCAAACTTGGTTGACATATGTTTCAAGGGGCCAAAGTTCACGTGGGATAAAGGTAAAGAGGCCAGAACAAAAATCAAAGAAAGGTTGGATAGGGGAGTAGCAAACCCAAGTTGGTGCTCGTTGTTCCTAGATCATGCACTATATCATTTAGTTTCCACACTTTCAAACCATATTCCAATCATGCTAGATACTAAAGGGAATAGGCAAAAGCGGCATGGACGAGAAAGGGTTGTGGAAGGATGTTTGAAGCCATGTGGGCCAAAGAACCAAGCTGTGTGGTGATAATTAAGGAAGCCTGGAATGATGGGAAAGTGGGTTGTACACGTGGAAGGATGGACGGTGTGCTGAAAAGGCCTGTGTGGTGGAGTAAGGACAAATTTAATGGGGACCACAAGGAAATAGAGGCATTAAACAAAGACTTGATAGAGTTAAAGGCCAATGGTGGGGACGAAATGAGCAATAGCCACGAGGAGTATATCAAGCAAAGATTGAATGAACTCCTGGAAAAAGAAGAAACATTCTGGCTTCAAAGGTCAAGAATAAACTGGTTAAGAGAGAGGGATAGAAATACTGCTTTTTTTCACCACAGGCTTTACAAAGTAAACTAAAAAACACCATAAGAGGGTTGGAGGATGAAAATGGGGAGTGGCTGGAAAGGGTGGATGAGATGAGTTCACATGTAGTGGGTTATTTTGAGGAGATATTCAAATCTCAAAAACTTGTAAATTTTGATGAAATCATGAGTGCAGTAAAACCTTGTGTGTCAGATGATGAATAACTTCCTCCTTACCGAGTTTATAGCCGAGGATATGTATGATGTAGTTAAACAAATCCATCCCACAAAAGCACCAAGATCCGACGGTATGCCCGCTTTATTTTTCCAAAAATATTGGCATGTCACAGGTTAAGATGTTGTTAAGTTTTGCTTGTTTTTTTCGAATGGGGAGGTAGGTTGGATGATATTAACAATACAAACATAGTCCTTATCCCTAAAGTGAAAGACCCTAAAAGTATGTCACAGTTTCGGCCTATTAGCATTTGTAATGTTATTTATAAGATCATTGCTAAAACTCTTGCTAAAAGGCTAAAACATATACTCCCTTCCCTTGTAAGCGAAAATCAGAGTGCATTCGTCCCAAGGAGGCTTATAACCGATAATGTCCTTATAGCCTACGGGATTTTACACATTCTGAAACTAAAGAAAAAAGGAAAGGAAGGATGGGGAGCGGTAAAATTAGATATAAGCAAAGCTTATGACTGGATTGAACGGAGCTTTCTAAAAATTATGATGGAAAGATTAGGTTTCAGTGAGAAGTGGGTGTCCATTATCATGCGCTGTATTTCCTCATTCACATATAGGGTGATTCTTAATGGCACAGTTACTAACCTTATTCATCCAGAAAAGGGTCTCAAACAAGGCGACCCCCTTTCACCATATTTATTTATTCTATGTACAGAGAGACTTTTAGCATTGCTAATAAAAAACCAGCTGGGGGGAATCTTAAAGGTTTTAGAGCTAGCGTGAATGGCCCAAGGATCAATCACCTCTTTTTCACAGGTAATAGTTTGCTTTTCATTAAGGCAAACCAAAGGGAATGCGAAAGAGTGAAGCGCTTGCTAAAGATCTATGAGGATGGGTCGAGGCAGACAATCATCTATGATAAACCGGTTTGTTTTTCAGCCGAAACACTAGAGATGATATAAAGGAGATGGTCAAACAGCTTTTTGGAATCAGAGTGACAAGCAGCCCAGAGAAATATCTAGGTTTGCCAATGATAGTTGGGAGAAATAAAAGGAGAGCCTTCCAGGATATTGTGGACAGAATGAAAAAAAGAATACAGTGCTGGAGCAACCAATGGATATCTCAAGGTGGTAAGGAAGCGTTTATAAAGGCTGTTCTACAATCACTCTTAGCTTATGCCATGTCCGGCTTCTTATTCCCACAAGGATTATGTCATGAACTAAACAAGACAATCTGCAATTATTGGTGGAAGCAGAGTGCAACAAGTAGAGGTAGTCACTGGCTCGATGGAAAGACATGTGTACAAGCAAGCTGGAGGGCGACTTGGGTTTCCAAGATTTTGAACTGTTCAACAAAGCACTGGTTGCAAAACAAGGTTGGAGACTCATTCAGAATACGACGTCATTGGTTTACAGAGTCCTGAAGGCAAAATACTTTCCCAAAACGTCATTTATAGATGCTGACCTTGGCAATCTTCCCTCATTCTCATGGAGAAGTATTTGTTTGAGTAAAAAAGTGCTGGTAGGTGGAATTAGGTGGAGGGTTGGTAACGGGTTAACATTTAACATGTGGACTGACAAGAGGGGTTCCAACTATTACAGGCTTTAAACCTCAACCACGTGAGGGGATGATTGAAGATGAGGCTGTGGAACACGAGTTAATAGATTGGAAAAGGGCACAGATGGAATGAAGAGAAGGTTGACGCACTATTCTCAATCCAGTCAGCAGAGGAGATCAAAGCAATCCCTCTTAGCAGGAGTAGTTACTTGGACGTGATGGTGTGGCATTTTACACATGATGGAAGTTACAGCGTTAAAAGCGGATGCAAGTTTTTGTGTAGCAAGGAACGAACCATCGAAGATGCTCATGGGTCAACTGAAGGGGGGAAGAAGATGCAGGAAGGAGATATGACGCAAACTTTGGAAGGCTCAAACACCCAGTAAGGTGAAAGTATTTGGATGGACGCTCATGCGTGGAATACTACCAGTTTATGGAAATTTAAAGAAAAGGAAAATCATGGAACGAAGAAACTGCAAACTGGGTGGTACATTTTTGAATATATCAAACCGGAGCAATTCAATCATGGGGGTATGAAAGAAAATGAATATAAGATGTGGCAGTCTTTGTGTTGGGCGATTTGGAAGAGCAGAAATGATGAGGTAAAAAATAATATCCACAGATCTCCACAGCATATAGCCCTGTATGCAAAAAGTTTCCTGGATGAGTGCCAGAGGGTTCAAGAGATACAGGTTGTAAGGAGTCGGCATGAGGGGACAAGGTGGAAAGCACCTTCCGGAAACCGATACAAGGTCAACTTTGATGATGCGGCGAGGGCAGCAAGCAGGATAGGTGGGATTGGAGTTGTTATTAGAGATAATATAGGAAGAGTTTTGGCCACAATGTCAACGCCAGCCTCACACGGACAACCCCATGCACGTGGAAGGACTGAGAGCAGTTAGAGCGCTAGATTTTGCTAATGAAATGGGATTCAACAGAGTCGAGTTAGAGGGAGATGCTCTGAGCATAATCAACCGGATACAAGATGATGGAAACGACCTTTCTACCATAGGTAATGTTATTGCAGATGCAAAATTGAAGATGAGAACTATGGTGGATTCAAGATGTGTCCATGTAAGGAGAGAAGCGAATGAAGCCGCCCTTACATGGGCAAGAATAGCAGCTAATAGTGGTGAAACTAGGCTCTGGGTGGATAAAAAAAACGGTGAGATTGTTAATTATAATGGAAGTGAAATTAATTAATTTAAAAATGAGATTAAAATCAATAATGAAATATGTTTAAATATAAAAATAATAGTAGTAGTGAGAGGAAAAAATGATAATTAAGAATATTAAATTAAAATTTGTATATAATAAAAATTTAAAGTATTGATATTTATGAAATTAATAAATAATTAAAAATTATTAAAATTATTCTTATGTTAAATAATAATTTAGTTAATAAATAATTAAAAATTAATAAATTTGTTAAAAATGATAATAATATGTCTAATAAAATTTTTAAGAAATTGATAATAATATATTTACATATATTGAAACTTAACAAAGTAATACTTGTTCACTTCATTATTTAGGATATATTTTTATATAATTAATTATGTATGTATTTTTCATTTATGTAATTCTTTTATTCAATGAATAAATTGATTATATATTTTATTATTTATCCAATTATTTATTAACTTTATGATTATTTTATACGAAGATAATAATTATCTTTTAAAAAGATAAAAAGATGTAATGTATTTGCTTGTCTATAACATTAATTTTGGTAATTTTGACTCCTATAAAACTTGCCATGTGATAGTGCCTTTTTCTTTTTTTTTCTTTTTTTTAATTTTAAAATTCCTTTTTCTTACTTTACATATTTAACTAATTATCTATTTTTTAAAAAATAAAAAATTGTATGTGTCCATTTGATATTATTGGCTAAAAAAATATTTTTTTAAAATTTTTTGAGCTTTTTTATTTTTTGTTTTTAATTAATTATATAAATTTTCATATTTTTACTTTACAAAAGATCTTTCACATGTCATCCTGATTTAATAAAAACAGTTTTATTAAATCAAGATTAGAATGTGAATATTTTTTTTTCTCAAAATCATGGTTAGATAGAAATGAGTTTAAGATACTTTTTTTTTACATTATGTTTAGATAGATATCAATAAAAAATAAAAAAAATAAAATTTTTTAAAGAAAAAAATATATGTACCTTTTATTTAGATAATTAAAATTAATAAAAAAATTTAACAACCATATTCTAGATCATTTGTAATTCTATTTGCATTTACTATTTTTCATCAAAAGTTGAAGTTAGTTGTTGCAAATGCTCATTTTATTAGATCTTTAAAAAATTCTCTGTTTTATGCCTTTTACAAATACTAAGAAGAAGCTAACTGAGCTTATTTCTTAACCATCTATGATCTCATGCTTCCAATAACATTGGAAATAGCCCTTCTTTTCCACCTATCTGGAAACAGATTGTCAAATCTCAATAGGTATACCCCGACCTGAATAGATAGCAAGTAATTATCCAGCACATAAAAACCGTTGGGATTAAGTTAAAAATTGTGAGGTAATGATTTGACATCCCATAAAAATAGTAACCAAATCTCAGATATAGCTTTTTAGCATGAAATTAAAAAACCATGAACCTTTAAATTTTTTATTGAATTTACATGATTAATAATGATACATTATTTGATTTAACATAAATAAAGATAAAAAATAAATATTTAAAAGGATAAAAAACCGTAAAAGTTATGAATATAAAAAAATAAGTTCATACATCTAAAAAAATTATCATATATGTCTGATCATGTTCAATCATTTATAAAAAAATTAAATCACTAAAATAATTATTTATTAACAATTTTTATATTAAAAGAGCCATGTTAAACTTAATCAAAAAAAAAAAAGGTTGACAGGAAAACATTGTAAAATTATCATGATACAGCTAGTTTAAATAATGTTAATAAAAATATAGATTTAATAATATTTTTATAAAAATAAAATTTTTCTAATTTTTCTAGTATTTTTCTCTCAAATTGAAGTATTAAAAAAGTTAAAAAGTAAAAAGAAAATAAAAAATTATTAGGTTTTCATCTCTTTCTTTTTATTTGAATTAAAAATTTATCTAAACAAGAAAAAAAATTTTCTATTTTTATTGCTTTCTTTTATTTTTCTTTAATTTCCTTTCCAGTATTTTTTAAATTAAGTAAATTTTTTAACAAAAAAATTTGGTGAATAGAGATAAGAAAAAAAATTTTTAATCCAGACAACATGCAGATACCCACCTAATTGAAATAAAAAAAAAATACTAATCTTTATTTACTTCATTATATATGTATTACCTACTTTAATTAATTATTTATTGTGAAGAGGAAAAAATAGTAATTAACAATTATGTCATTTTACACAATTCTCAGATTACATGGCTTCGTTTTTTTTTCTTTTCCTAAATATAAATAAAAAATAAGAAAGAAAAGACAAAATACAAAATACAAAATATAAATAAAGAAAATTACAAAGAGATGATATCTCCTTAGCTTATTACAAAGAGATGATGTGTCCTTGCTTCGATTGGTTTATACCATGGGATCTGCAACTTCATACTAATTTCAGGCTTGGAAAAGCCTTAGCAATATCTCATTACGAGTTTTCTATGAAGAAGCCTTGGAAACATCCCTGCTGGACCTATTGTATTTCATATGGCTCCGGACTAATTGGCCTGCTGCAAGTGCGGACATGAGTGACAGCTCCCCAGCAAGGACAGCACCAGCTACAACGGTTGCAAGCATTCTAGAGTTTGCTCCAGGTGACTCTTTGCTAGCACCCTTGACCCCAAGCAGGTTCAAACAGGCTGACTGAGATGCAAGCTGAGTTCCACCACCAACAGTGCCAACCTGAAAGATAAATCAGACAGCAACATAGATATTAGGCACTGACATAAATATTCAGGTACCGTTAAAAACAGTTTTACTCTTGACAGATAACTTTGACAGTGAAAATCCTTGTGTTTGATAATCAGACAGCAATACAATCAATTACCTCGATGGACGGCATTGTAACAGAGATGTGAAGGTCCTTGCCATCATTAACAGCTTCCATCATTGTGATGCAATGAGAACTCTCGACAGTTTGAGCCGGATCTTGGCCAGTAGCTATATAGACTGCAGCCACAATGTTACTGGCATGGGCATTAAATCCACCCAGAGCTCCAGCCATAGCAGAACCAGTAAGGTTCTTAAGCATGTTAAGCTCCACTAGAGATTCAACACTAGTTTTCAAGACTTTCCTCACCACATCACCCTTAATGATGGCCTCGCAGACAACAGATTTGCCTCGTCCTTCAATCCAATTTACTGCAGCTGGCTTTTTGTCGGAACAGAAATTTCCTATATCCATCATAAATCCATAAAAATTCAGTGATCTAGCTAAAACAATAAAAAAGACGAATAACATAATTACAAGTCTATGCAAATGAAGCTCACCAGAGATGCCAATAACATCCATGTCAGGGAAATCAGTTTGAAGGAAATCCAAAACGTTTTGGACTCCCTTGGAAACCATGTTCATCCCCATAGCATCACCAGTACTGCAAGTGAATCTCAAATATAGATTCTTCCCAGCAATGGCACATTTGATACCTTGAAGTCGAGCAAATCTACTAGATCTGCAACCACCCAGAAAACCAAAACTTTCAACAAACCAGCACCAATATTAGCTTGCATTTAAATCATTCAGTCTGGATTTCGAAAAATGTTCAACAAACCTGTTAAAAATAACAGCCAAAGTCTCGAAATTGTCAGGATCCTCCAAATACAACTTCAGTTCAGCTGCCCTTTTCGCGGCACCGAACCTTACAACAGGAGCTCTAGTCATTCCATCTTTCAATAGAACGCATGTAGCTCCACCAGACAAATGAATAGCTTTACATCCCCTATTAGTGCTAGCCACCAAGCACCCCTCCGTGGTTGCCATAGGAACCGAGTACTCTCCTCCATTAAGCAACAAAGGCCCGGCAATTCCCACGGGAATCTGCACGTACCCAATCGGCATCTCACAACACTGCCCCAAAATCGACTCGTAATCAAATCCATCCAAAGGCAATCCTGATAATGACTTCCCAGTTAACCTCTGCAACGCCTCACGCCTGACCGCAGCCGCTCTCTTGCAATCACCTAATTTGGATTCCAAAGAATATGAAGGGGTTGTTCCAGCCACTACAGATTTAATTATTTTTTCGTCTTCCTCGGTTGTAACTGTCGCAGGCTTTTCATTGAACACTTTCTGGGTAGTTACAATCGGTGCCGGAGGTGGCAGAGGAGGAAGCGAGCAATCAAGAGCTTGGCCGCAAGGGACTTTACGGCCATCTTCTTTACGAAGCAAAACTTCATTTTCCTCATCATCGTCCTCGGAATTCCAAACGTCAGTCGATGGTCGGAAAATCAAAGACTGAACAAAGTCAATCCCGAAAAATCCCACAAGATAAATAAAGGAGGCGACAAAAGCGAGAATCGCGACGATCTCGGAAAAGGTGACGACATGGAGAGGAGTGGAAGTTCGGATCTTCTCTCGCCAACGGGAAAGAAGAAAATAAACCACAGAGAAGAAGAGCGTGAAGAACACCGCATTGGTTATATACAAAGGAAGAGGTAATGCGTCGGAGGCTTTGGTAGGATCTTCCTCTAAGGGAATCGTTTTTGCTGGCTTGAGAGATTGAACGGGTTTAGTAGATGATCGCCGACAGGCCTCCATTTTGGGTGTAGGTGGCGACGGAAGCCGGCGGCGGAGGAGGAGAATATAAGAGGAATGAAAGGAGAAAGCAGGAAACGATTACTGTTCGTCGTGGGCAGAACCGTTTTCGGGGGTTGAGTGGAGAAGCGAGAGTTTAGGGAAGGGAATATTTAAAGCGTTGTTGGGGAAAGCGCGTGAGCAAAAAGGACAGGAGAAAGGGCGCGTGAGCAAAAATGGACAGGAGACGAGTCAAAAATGTTTAGGTTGTTGTTGTTTTGCAAAGTGCATGCATGGATGGTTGGGTTTGGGGAGAAATGGGCAATTGGGCGCTGCGGGTTACAATGTTGTCAGTTTCCCGGTTGTTTCATTTTATGATTTGGTCTTCCCCATGTGCTGCTGTTTTCTGTCCTTTTTTGTTTTCCTTCATTTACATGTTCGACCCGTAATTTCCAATCTTATTTTTTACCAAATTAAAATTAATATTATTCTTTAATTTGATTCATTCTTATTGATTAAAATATTAGGGTTGAAAGTGTTATAACCTCTTTGAATATCAACTTTTAATTGCCTAAAGTTTCGAATAACCAAGTCAAAGTTTGGGTTGCAGCCACTAATATATTTAAGGGAACCTTTGATTCAAGTTTTGAGATCTTATTTGCTTGGGATATTTTTGACACTTGATATATTACACATATCATAATACCATAGTCGTCAATTTACCTCTTCTTTCACATTTGAATAGTGGGTCGATAAATCTCTCATTTGTACTTTGATGAGCATGATTCATGTATTATTATTTAACTTAAACATTACTGTCAAAGTAGTCAAGGCATCAATAATCTAATTTTTTCTTCAAGAAACATATTGAAATTGGATCTCTTTGAATTGTTTTATTAAGTTAATTATGTGACTTTGGTATAATACTAATTTCGGGTCTGTGGTCTCCCATTTGCCTTTTAGTTATTAAAAAAAACCAAGGTTGAATCTCTATATACTTATAATGCCTCAATCTTCTTTTTAACGGCCATCTATAAAATCATGGCACATATTTTATATTCACCAATATTATTTGTGCAATTGAAATCCAACCTTGTAATATAGGGATAGTAATTTCTTTTCGGGGATATTAGCATTGCTCCAATGCCATGATCCATTATAGTAGATATACCCTATCGAAAAACATCTTCCACAATTTTCTTACAAGTTCTTCATCTTCATCCTGCAAGATTGCCATTAAGTCTTAATCTAGAAATTCAAACTTCACGGGTTCATAATATTTTGTAGTTCAGTCAAAAAGAAAATTAACTATTGCACTTCTTTTATGGATTTTTGTACCACATATACAATATCATATTCTGAAAGCATGACCTACCATCTCATTATCCTACCTAACAGAGATGGTTTCTCAAAAATGTACTTGAGGGATCTAACTTTGATATTAGTCAGGTCGTATGATAGAGCATGTTCTATCTGAGCCTACTGGTAGTCCAAGCTAGGGCATAACATATTTTTCTATTTAGGAGTACTTGACCTCATACTCTATAAACATTTTACTTAAATAGTAGTAGCATACTTTTTCTTACCAATTTTATCCATTTGCCTTAGTATGCATCTCATCGATTTCTTTTATACTATTAGATACAAAACCAATGGCCTTCTTACAACTGGTGGTACCAATACTGGTGGGCTTGTCAAATACTTTTTAATCTTTTCAAAGGCATTTTAGCATTCTTCGTCCCATTTACCAAGATAATTTTTACAAAACAACCTAAAGATCAAATCGCATCTCGAGGTAAGTGGAGATATGAAGCAAGAAATATAATTCAATCACCCTAAAAAGCCTCTCATTTTTTTTGCATGTGTGACACTATCAACTCTTGAATGGCTTGAATCGTATTAGGGTCTACTTCTATACCTCTCTCACTAACTATAAATCCTAGCAATGTTTTAGATTTAACATTGAATGTGCATTTGGTCAAAATCAACTTAAGCTGATATCTCTATAACCTTTCAAAAAGTTTTATGAGATTAGCAACATGATCTTCACCATCTTGAGACTTAGCTATCATATCATCAACATATATCTTTATCTCCTTTTACATCATATTATGAAAAAAAGTGACCACTGCTCTTTGATATGTGGTACCAGCATTCTTTAGCACAAAAGATATGACTTTATAGCAAAATGTAGCCCGCATTGTCACAAATGTGGTTTTTTTCATATCTGTTTTACCTATTTTGATCTGGTTATAATTGAAAAAGTCATCCATGAATGACAAGGTAGAATGTCTAGTAGTGTTGTTCACAAAGGCATTGATATGAGGCAACGAAAAATCATCCTTTGGGCTAACCCTATTTAAGTCCCGATAGTATACACACACCCTAACCTTTTCATTTTTTTTAGGAACCAAGACTATACTGCCTACCCATTTAGGTTATTTGGTTACTTCTAAAAAACCCGCATCAAACTACTTTTTTTTTTTTTTTATTTCATACGTCTCAATTTTTGCTATATTGGTCTGCACTTTGGTTTTAAAGCCAGTTTATGTTCAATCACATCTGTGCTAAGTCTAAGGATATCCTGATAAAACCATGCAAATACATCACATTTCTTGCAACAAATCCATCAGTTTCTGTTTCTCAATCGATGATAATGAAATACCGATCCTAACTTTTCTTATTCTCACCACCCCTCAAATTCAACAGGTTAGTAAATTATTGATAGTGTTATTAATTTTCTTTTCCTACTTCACCTGTTTTAATAGATCACAAGGTAAACTATAGTCTTTTGAATTAACATCATTATCAAGCTTGCTAACATGAATTGAACATTCGAAATCAAATCTGGCATTATTGTCTTAGTCATCCAGAATGTTCAGTATTAAAAGACTTGAAAATGGGTACAATCATAAGAAAATATAGACTGATTTTAGAAAAGGCAAAAGAAATATAAGTAACAATAAAAAAGAAAAAATAAAGAAGATGGTATGTGTGAAATGCATCACATTTATTCATTTATTAGGATACATAATCTCATTAACGCTCAAATCTCTTGGCAATAGCAATTAAAATTTTTAAGTTTGAACGATTCAAGGATAACGGAAACAGTACAACATTCTTGGATCTCTTAACCTAGAAATAGAACCCATTTTCTCATAAACAGCCATCCTTAACCAAACCAACTACCACACACAAAAAAAGACCTCAACCAAACACCCAAGACACAAAAAAAAATCTTAACAATCTATTAGTAGCAAGGAAAACCTAGCCACAATCTTTCTAAAGTAACAAGAAAAAACCATACAAAAAAATCAAGAAAAAGAGAAAAGATAAACCTTTGGGGTTTTCAGTTTGGAGTATTGGGAAAAGATTTAGGGCCCAAAGTTTAAAGAATAAGGGGTTTATAGAAAGGTGAATAACATAGTTTAAATGGGAATTGAAAGGAGTGACAAAAAAGGGTGTTTTAAAGAAGTGAACCTGTGACTTTTGGTATGGATTTAAGGAAATTTGGTGGGTTTTTAGGCATAACTAAGGCCAAATCAGGGAAGAGGGGACTGAGTAGAGCTTTAAGTGAAATTTTTTTAATGAAAAGGTGTTGGTCGACAAAGGCACTAATGACGAGAATGGAGGCCAGCCGCCAGAAACTAGATTTGAAATAAAAGGCTGGCTTTTGGTTCTAAGAGAAAATGAATTTTTTTTTTTTGAATAAGAGATGAAATGATTTTTAAAAAAAGGTTTGTTTTTATAAGGTAAAAAAAGTGGGTATACCTGATATGTGGTTAAATATTGGAGGAAATCCAAATCACGTTTTAAAAGACTAATTTTCTTAAGTTATGCCTAGATATAAGAAAATTAAAGGCAATTTTTCTTCACCAAAATAAATAAAAAATAATAAAATTTAAAATTTATTTCACCCTTAATTTTCTTGCAAATACATAAAAAGAAAAGAGTAATGGAAAAAAAATAGAGTTAAACATATATAATATAGGTCAATTTGATTTATGGCTGGTATTTACATCATTTATTTATCTTATGTCCTCATATAAAAATGTGAATTGGTAAAATGATAATTTTGAAATTCATTTTTTTAACAATGATTAATAGTCTTAGTAAAAATAATTATTGAGACCTTACTTAGATATTGGAAGGTTTTCAATAATTACTTTTTACGGAGGACTATTACACATGAATTTTAAGGGATATCGTAAGAATTATAAATAAAAAAATATTTTTTTAAAATTTTATCTAGATATTAAAGAATTAGAAAATATTTCGATACTAAAATTTTCATTTTATTTCAAAATAAAGGTTTTTTAATGAAAATGAATTAAAATAAAATTTAAGTATATGTTAGATAAAGTTTAATTGATTGCTTGCATTTTATTTACATTCATGTTATATCTTTGTTTCATAAGGTATTTGCTCGGATTTTGTTTCCCTAAAAATGGCATTTATAGAATTGTTTTTAGATAAAACTAATATTTCTAAATAAAAATAATTTTTTGGGACATGCCTAAATATTGGAGGATTTCTCAATAATTTTTTTTTTGTTACATCAGATGGACAAAACTCTAATATAAATAAGAGGAAGGGGAGAGGCATGGTTCAAAATCAGGCCCTTGATGTTCCCTCAAACGCCTTTAACCACTAGTCTCAAGGCTTAGAGACTATTTCTTAATAATTATTTTTTATAAAAAAAATATCATGTGAAGTTTTTAAGGGATTAGTATGAAAATTCCAAGTAAAGAAATATTGTTCAAAATTTTACTTAGATATTAGAGAAATTAGAAAATATTTCAATACTAAAATTTTTATCTTATCCCTAAAAAAAAGGTTTAAATAAAAAGAGAGATTGTTAATAAAAAAAAAAAATTGGAAGGAATCATTTTTTATGAAACCAAGGAGCCTGACCTCTCACCAATCGGTATTATGAATGGAGAAGGAAGAGATAAGATGGCTTGTATGGATGAAGGTCCATGCACGTTCCAAAACAAGGGAATAGGGCGGTCCATAGCCTAGCT